CCTATCCCTCAGCAGTACTGACCTGGGGTCTGTTTAATTAATGCACTGTAATATGAAAATAGCTTACTAAATGAAAACAACCTATCCCTCAGCAGTACTGACCTGGGGTCTGTTTAATTAATGTACTGCTGTAATATGAAAATAGCTTACTAAATGAAAACAACCTATCCCTCAGCAGTACTGACCTGGGGTCTGTTTAATTAATGCACTGTATATTGAAAATAGCTTACTAAATGAAAACAACCTATCCCTCAGCAGTACTGACCTGGGGTCTGTTTAATTAATGCAATGTAATATGAAAATAGCTTACTTAATGAAAACAACCTATCCCTCAGCAGTACTGACCTGGGGTCTGTTTAATTAATGCACTGTATATTGAAAATAGCTTACCTAATGAAAACAACCTATCCCTCAGCAGTAATTAATAGGTTTTTATTTTTATAAAACCTAATGATGTTTCTTTTATAAACCTTCAAATATCATCGTGTGTCCTATATTAAAAGTTGACTCCCATCAACGTTACTGGTTTGTGTCCAGTTTTTGGAACCAATATCCCTAGTTTGTCTCGTATATAATGCAGCTTGTACAAATACTGGTTAACATCATAAATAAAACTTAAGAAGAGTTTTAAAATAATCATCCAGTTACCGAACAACATAATTAAAAGTGTAATTTTTATCTGGGTGCGGTACCCATCATGATAGCTAATCTTCAGGTCAGGTTCATTTTGATTAGCTAAAAATGTACAATTTTATTTCAAGTTTAGTTCAGTCTGATTAGTTTTTAGATCTTATTCCGAAGTTTAACGCCATTAATAGCGTAAGTCATTGATCCCTTAGAGTCTAAGATGACTTAGTCTAATTTATTTATTTTTTAAACTCTTTGTAAGTCGCCATGAAAACACCGTCCAATCACGTAACGGGTAGAGATGAAGAAAGTTCCAGAAAAATGTGAGAAACTCCATTTGTAAAATGGGATAAATATATATTTCATTTAAAAAACTTTTAATGATTCAAATTCGAAATTATGCTTGTTTCATTGTCGAAATCAAATTGTAAATGTTCATGCGAGGCTAAAATTAATCGATAAACCATTCTATAAAAAATACTGTACACTTCTATATTAAAATAACAAAGATTGGCAGAATAATACAATAATTACAACATACGAGACATGAAATAGTTTAGCCTACGTGTGACATATGTTTACGTTTTGGCTCAGAAGACAAAATATAAACACTGAAGTTATAAAAAAAAAAATCACAAACAAATCTACATAAAAGTAAAAAAAATGGAATGCCCATCTTGTAAAAAAAAAGAAAAAACATTTCGACTTATAATCACCACAAAACATTCTTATTTCAACAACAAATCCAAAACTGTCAGTCAAATCTCCAGTATATGTAAAAACAAACTTTAATAAATAATTTCCTACAGCTAATTTATACTAATTCTTATTTATTTATTTATGTTGCAGAGAAAATAAGACCTGGATGAGATCCTGATGTTCTTTGGCCAGTCATGCACAGTATTTCATTGCCTGTAGAGCTCCCTATAAACAGTACAGGTATTAGGCTTATAAAACTAAAATGTTTCATACATTTTCACATGCGAATTTTGTCAAAGTTTCCCACAGCTCTGAACACAAGTAATCACTGAAATGTCAACTCTGTGCCTACCAGGCAAATAAGTGCCCAACTGACTAACAAAAATACTCTTGAACAAAAACTTTTTTTTTAGTCAGGCTAAACAAAAAGGCCTTAATAATAAAGACGGGCCAAGATATCCAATAAGTTAATTTTAGTTTTTGTTAAAAACATAATATGTTACTTTGAAAATTGTACTGAAATTATCAAAACAAGTGAATATATTAAACATGGCACACAATACTGAAAGACACACCTCTATGAAACTTGCATTTAACAGACTACTTTTAGTAATGGATATTTACTTTTCGATAAAAAGTTATGAAGACAGGGATCAAATTTAACAAACGTCCATGAACCCGAGATTCACGATTTAAGTCTCTAACACAGATTTATGATATTCTGGAGTCCATCACTGATATATTGGAGCACTGGTCACTGACTCATTTCAAGAATAGCCTTACTTTTAACCTTACTTCCAAAAAATTACATGCCTCTAGAAACTACTTGTTATAATGTTGAGCCCACTAACAACTTTTTATACATCGTTCATACATTACAGTAAAAATGTATTAAGGTAAAACTTCTGTGTTGTTATGTAAGTGTCATCATACATACCTTACAGTAAAAATGTATTAAAGTAAAACTTCTGTGTTGTTATGTAAGTGTCATTATACATACCTTACAGTAAAAATGTATTAAAATTAAAGTAAAACTTCTGTGTTGTTATGTAAGTGTCATCATACATACCTTACAGTAAAAATGTATTAAAATTAAAGTAAAACTTCTGTGTTGTTATGTAAGTATGTTCAGTGTTTTTATTAACATTTAGGTAACTTATCCTAGATAAAAAAAAAAGACCCCCACCTGCTGAAGTTAAATGATTGTTTCATATATGCTACTCACTCAAGTCATTAAGTAAGTTTAAAAATATTTACTACTTAAAACACCACTCAAAGTTAAATTTTTTTTTTCTTATCAGCCATAGTCACACACTTCTTAGAAAACATTTCAATAAAAGCTATCACATATATATATTCTTCGTTCTACCTATTACTTTGCAAGCTGACCAAACCAATTCCATAACTACATCATCCAAAACAAACTATTTAACATAAAAATACTCACTGTATCTGTTGCATATGATACACCACAGCTCAACCATTGTCGACAGATCATTTCTGTCAAGATTATAATCAAATGTAGTATTTAGTTTTTTTTTAACCATTTCATGATACTTTTAACAAACAACTTTTGTTTTTGTTTTTTTACTGTCACTTGATAACTCCCGCTTGTCATAAGTTTTCATTTCCAGATTTGGCATGTTTAAAAATACTTCCATTAATACAAGATAGGATGGTTGATCGGAAGCGACTTTTGAAAACTGGGGAGAATTTAAAAGAAAACTTTGACTAATTCGGATCCAGTGTGTTAAATAATGTCAAATTGGCAAAGGACCTCTTTAGTAGAAAAGTACCATGATAAGACATGAAATAGTTAATGAATTAGTACTGTTTGTCACTCGATATTGTTATTAATATAGAAAAAATGATTTTTGAATGTTGAGTTTGTTTTTTGGAATTAGGTTTTTTTGGTTCTTTTCCCTGATTCCATTCTTTGAAATAATTAATTTTGATATTCGTGTTTTATTGTTCATTAATATTAGTATCAAGACCTGGCCAGGCACATTTAGTAGCTGTGATATTCTAAGTGTTGTTACAGTTTAATAAATTGTTTCTCTGTTGTAGAGGCAGGTTATTTTAGACCGTTACAAATGTATCATGCATGCACAAACAAAATTGTTTTAGGAGTGTGCTCTGATGAACTGACAAAATCACAATCATAATCTCACGGAAATTGGATGGAAAAATCTGCTGTTGGTGAACTGTAAAACGTCAAAACGATTATGATCGAACAGGAATCAGCTTTTAGTGAAACAACAAAATGATCCTGTTCGATTCAGAATCAGCCTTTAGTAAAAGGACAAAATGATTCCGATCAAACAGGAATCAGCCTTTAGTGAAACAACAATATGATCCTGTTCGATTCAGAATCAGCCTTTAGTGAAACAACAAAATGATCCTGTTCGATTCAGAATCAGCCATTAGTAAAAGGACAAAATGATCCCGACCGAACAGGAATCAGCCTTTAGTAAATGGACAAAATGATCCTGATCAAACAGGAATCAGCCTTTAGTGACTTGACGGAGTTCAGTAACTTAACTCAATTTTGTGTCTCATGCGAACAACTGAAAGAAACGAAAGTTGCAACTCTTATAGAAAATACGTAGTGCCAGATTCGAACCCCCGTCATTTGGTTTTTCCTTTCTTGAAATGTTCCTACCCGTACAGAAACAGTTTTAATATCATAATGTTGTTCAACATCCATTTATTCTGAGTGGCAGTGTTGATGTGATACTAAGAGGGGAGACTTTAACATCATTACTATCACGACTTTTAGCAGACTTTCAACTGCAGATAAAAATAATGACCAACCTCACACTGAAACCAATACAATAGTTGATTACTAAGTTGTTTCTTAGATATTCGTATTACGAAAAAGTAAATAACGGTAATATTCATAAAAATAAAATCTGTTTCTTTTGTTTTTTCCCCCCCATACCCTCCAAAGCTTCTATAAATTTTCCTTATTCCCACACACCATGTGTAACTGGTTTATAACACTGCCATAGCAGTACAGTTTGAAAATAAAACTGGCTGTAGTCAGTTTTCAGTTTCCTTACTTTGCCTTTCTTCTTACTTCCCAATTTTTGCTATTTTCCCCAAAATTCTTCCACAGTTTTCAAAATCTCACAGTTATTCCTGTACTTATTGGTAAGAATACTTACCCTCAAGAATAAATGTAAATAATTTAAGAACAACCACACTGTTTCTAAGGTGTCTGGCTTTCAAGATAATGGCATTCAAAAGATAGTCTTACCCGTTGGGAGAACTATCAGTGTTCGTGTTAATGTATGTTCGTGTTGATGAACATAATTGGAGAAATTTTAACAAGGGGTGGGGGGAGCAGAAAAAAATAGATTTATAATACACCATAGTGATGCAAACTAAATTTGTTTTCAAGCTGTTCTTTTAATCGTATTCCCCACCAAATAGTTCTCAATAAAGTTATCTTTTTTTGTCTCTATTTCGCTTCAATTCCACACGACAACATTCATAGTTTTACGTGTTCGTTAGGTGGAAAGATTATCTCCCATTTAACTGAATTCACCACACAGGAATTTGACATGACACAGCACCATCTATCATCGAAATCATGTACTAACAGATAAAGAGGACCTTTTGGCAGGAAAACATCATGGGAAAAACCAATGCAGTGTAGAACACGTTCAAATATTACTACAGTTAGTAAGTAATAAACTTATAAATTCCGATATTTTTTTGCGATTTATTTTAAATATAAGGGGACCTCCCCACATTATCCAATTGGATAGTCCCCAGGACTGAACACTATTCAAGTGATAGTCTGAACACTGATTGTCAAAATCTCTTTGACTTTCCTCTCTTAGATCTGTTTACAATACACCTTTTATTTAAAAAAAATGTCAGAAAGAAACGATTAATATTGTTCATCTTTTTTTTTTATATAAATGTTTTCTGAATAATTGGATTATTTAAAAAAAAAAAGATCTCCAGACACCAAACTAATCAAAGGTCATGTGCCTGGTGTCCTCCAAGATTTCAAACATTAAATTTGACCCCTGACGGAGTTTAACAGTACCCATTAATCAAATCGTTAAATTTAAATCTGCTTAATACAGTAGTCTAGTTCTCCCTACAAAGGTACATGTGAAAAATACAATCTATTATTCTATTCACACAAACAATACATACTCTTAAGTTTGTCTTCAAGCTTTGCTTAAAAAATTCTTTAATGTCTATCCAAGATCTTCTGTTACGACTCTTAACAGGACATAACCAACAAATCAAATATAGATAAACGATGTCCTAAGAACAACGAATCTACGGTAACTTGTATATTTTCACAGAAATATCGAGTCTAAACATCCAAATGAGTCACTAATCTCTAAGACTGAATACATACTATTAACAAGTTAACAAAGAATTTACATGTACATCTAAGGAGCTCAACTTACAATGTGATCCATCGGCTGACTGGGCAGAGTTCTGGGGATTATGGTACAGATTTTGAATCAGAACAGTCTGTTAAAGTAAACAACACATACATATATATACAAGTACAATACATCACAAAGTTCTATCATAATGGTAGGACATGCATAGAATAAACTGGCATATAACAGAATTGATTTTCAACTAAAATGACGTACATTTTGTGAGATGCATGATAATTTCAAGAGATAAACTGTTTTAAAGCACAAGCAACGGACGGACGTTCCTGCCATAACCGAGACTCCATTATTAAATACGCTGGACGACAAACTACAGAAACTAGCATTGGGTGTTTTCTTATAAAACTACCGAAACGTTTTCACGAGTATATATATATATAAAACAGTTAATATTCTACACAGCAGACCTCAACGAATCCTGGGCACCAGGTCGGCACCGAGTATTTTCTCCTATCTTGCTCGCGCGTAGGGCTGTGCTAAACACAACTCAAATCTAGACTCTTGAAAGTCGTAAATGAAACTTTGTTTCTAACACACTTCTTCCTGTTTTTTCAGGAATGAAGCGCTGCAGTATCACAACACCTTACTAATTGTACACCATTTCTTTCTCTCGATTCAACCAATCAGTGCACACGTTTAGACTCGCAAGGGACCAAAGGCAGTATTATCAAGTGGTTGTTGATATCATGTGATCATGAGCATTCGCTCGTTGCTGTGAAAGTAAATAAATATAATCTGCGGCCTCGATTATCCTCGTTGGTCCGAGGATAGCAAAAAAAGTCACGGATAATCGAGCCACTAGCGTATCACACTAGTTCGTCCACTGTTTAATCTAAATAACAAATTTTCAATATATCTAAGTTCCTTGTTTTAAATTACAATCTTTTTTTACTTTCGTTTTAAGCACATTACCATGAACAATTATAAAAAAATCATCACATTCATATTAAAAAAGCCAAGTATCGGTTGGTCCGCAAGTCAAGCTTCAGTTCCATTTTTTATCCTACAATACTTTCTCTATTGATTGCCCATTCCTGTTTTAGTTTAATTTAATCTCTAACAAAGGCGTAAATAACTCCTAACTTTTTGCACTTTTTCTGCTATAGACACAGAAGCAAATTCGCACCCTATCAACGGCTGGGAAAAATAAGTCAAAAAAGTAGCACAAAACTCTGCTTGGGATTTATTACAAAAAAAGCTTTTGTTAAAAACAGACTGAAGACACCAATTATCTGTAGGGAAGATAACAATGTATAACACTACAATACCACCTGAACATGCATCTGTGGTTAAAGGATGCCCACTGTGCAGCAGAGAACAGCAGACGACAACTGAAGTTGAGTGAAATCTTAACATGTATTTCGTGTGTTTTTTGTCCACAATGTATTTAGTCACTAATCAAGTAAAGTTAACCAAGCTACAAATATTTTGTTTTCCTGTCTTAACAACTAAAAATAAGAGAGAGGCAAGGCTAGGCTTGAACTGGGTGACTTACAATACGAACGCACGCCCGATCCCGCACGCACAAACCTCGGATATCATGCAACACCTGAACTTGGACAGCAGACTACCTCATTGTTATCACATTCCCAATCATCTGATCATGGAAAGAATTAGTTTCCACAATAAAGTTATGATGAAATAAGAAATCCAGGAATATTCAGACCAGTTGTAGAAAATGATAAAATTCATGAAAAAAAAATGTTGCTGCAAGCACAACAACTATGACGGAGAAAAACACTGTGGTAATGGGTCAATAAACCTTTTTCAGTTGTACAAATCTTATTTGAGCATCTGTCAATTAAAAATGTAACATTCGAGTGGTTTCCTTTCATATTAAAAATGCAATTACCATAAATATAAAATCGAATCTTAAATTAAAAATTCAACACTTCCTGATTAGACGGACTCGCTAAAGACGAGTAACTCATAAATCCTTCAATTTTTAGTTGGTACTTTTGTAAGTAAATTTAAAGTTACTGTCAATAAAAAAAAAAAAGGTTGTTTCTAAGCCTTTTTACATTTGTAATTTATGAACAGACAGATTATTTCTTAATATATATCACTAGATTAATTCCATAAAAACAAAACTTACCATCTTTTACTATCGTATTTATCTATATTTTATCAACGTACAAAACATGAATTTTAACAATAAAGGTTTCAACATTAAACATGTTAATAACTTAAGAATATTTACCTGACTGAACGTAGGTTTGTTGTGTATTCGTGAACATCGGTCTCCGTGCCGACATGCTCCGATCTTGAAATAAAATGAACAATTTACCCTAAATAAAAATAAAAAAAATGATTAGACTGGGGAATGGGCCTTTAAAGGATGACAGAAGTTGAACATTTCCTCGTTGTTTACAAGGACAGACACCACAATATTTCTGTTTCCTGTAACCTGACCGACTGTCCGAAGTTGGGCCGACTGAGAGATTTTTTTTGACATTATGACCTGGGAAATTTTTATTTTCACACATTTCTGGTGATATACCGACCCATCTAACAAAATTCTTATTACCATTTTATGTTTACAATATTTTTCTTGGAAATTCATGTACTCCACAACAATGTGGGAGGGCATCACCTGATTACCAATCAACAAGCTCAATGCTGATCGGCCAATGCAGAGTTTCGACAACATGGTTTATCTCATCCCCAGGACTCTTCACACTAAACTAATAAATACACGACCTAGCAGGGGAGAATTTACTACCAGGACTCTTCACACTAAACTAATAAATACACGACCTAGCAGGGGAGAATTTACTACTAGGACCCTTCACACTAAATTAATAAATACACGACCTAGCAGGGGAGAATTTACTGCTAGGACTCTTCACACTAAACTAATAAACACACGACCTAGCAGGGAAGAATTTACTACTAGGACTCTTCACACTAAACTAATAAACACACGACCTAGCAGGGAAGAATTTACTACTA